AACATAAACATTCTAACTAGAATCAAAGACAATGAAAATAAACATTTAAAGTTGAACTAAAATCATCAATCAAGTCTTTCAAAGTCCAAACTAACAACCTCACAACACAAAATCACACAAAAATCGTACAAATGACTTAGAAAAGTTAAATTGTATGATGTTGTTCAAAGATCAGTGTTGTTTGCTTGTAACTGCATGTTGACAACTTGATTAGTAAAGGTAATGCGTGGGTGGATTTATTTAGTGTGTGTTGGATTCTTTTCCATCACAAATTACCCAAGTAATCTACCCGAAATAAATGTTTATGGATTATGTTACATGTTATATGAGAGTAGATTTGGAAAAGAAAGCTGGCGCAGAAGTAGACAGTGCTATGGAGATGGATGTAGGTACTTCGGGAAGAGGTTTGGTTCCGGAACCTTATATGGGGGAGAAATAATAGGTTAGGGTTTAGAGTTTTTATAGGCCTTTTTTTAATATTTTGAGCTTAAAGTTTGGCAACATATTGGGTTAGCACATTTTAACTTACAAATTGGGTTTAGAAAATAATACCCAAAACAAATAATTAAATAAAAAAATTAATTTAATTAATTCGGTTCGGTTTCTAGATCACTAAAACCGAACCGAACCAAAAGAATTCGGTTCGGTTCGGTTTTTTCAATTCGGTTCGATTTTTTCGTTTGGTTCGGTTTTTTCGGTTTCGGTTCGGTTTGGTTTTCGGTTTTTTTCGGTTTTCGGTTTTTTGAACCCACCCCTACAACTGACACTCAGCTCAACTAACCACTTATCCAAAATGATGGGATCGGTCCTAAACCATTTTTATGCCAATGATTTTTATCTAGAGGAAATTAACAACCCCATAACATATATGACAATCTTTTGCTTCCTCGCCAATTAGATCCTTAAGAAACTCAAATCTAATAAACTAGACATAGTGTTTGGGTTAATATTTGAACTTTGTGCCAAATTGAGGAAGGGCCCAAGGATGTTAAATAAAAAGGGATTCATCTGGAGCCCAACATAAAGCCCAAGGATGAAGTGAAGCCTTCACAATCACAAACAAGCCACTTGCTTGCCTATGGAAGTGACAAGTGATGGAGACTAACATACTATTAACCAAAAAGCACTTTCCAGTGGCACTTAAGTAAAAAAGAGGTGATGACTCACTACCTTCCGAGTGCTTTCGGGCAAGAGCACAACCATTGCAGTCGTGCTAAGCTGCCTATAAAAGAAGGAAGTGATTCCAGGGACAAAGATACTCAACCAATCAAACAAACAAACAAACTTACAAACTCTGCTCTCAAGCCAGATTTGCAAAACAAAGCTGTAAACAGCCCAGATCTCCGATCTTTTAGGCATCGCCTACCCAGAAAGTTCATCTTTCTTTAGTTAAAAGCTTTGCTACTCCCGTAGTATCGATTCTCTTGTGTAAACTTGTTTACCATCCATTACTTTTCAAGCATACAACCTTTGTAAACTCAAAGAGAAGCGTTTGCAAGAAGTTCAACCTTGCTGGACAAGGTGAAATCTTGCCCAGAACTCTTTGTTTGTTTTCTAAACTAGTAGATCTATCATTTAGCATATTGTCCAGCATGTATTCAAGTCATTTCAACTTGTGTTCTACTTTGAGAGTTCCATTTGTGCTCAGATCTGGTTATCTTTATGGTTCTTCTTGCATCTAAAACCAATCTAGAACTAAACAAATGACTTAAGAGGTTATGGACACCCTTCCTTCAAGCATACAAAACCATAACTGAAAGTCCTTGATCTCAAGGAAAGAAAGAACTTAATATGGACTTAACCCATCCATGATAATCCTTTGATAACAAGAAGTCTAAGTAACTTGAGGCACAAGAAACTGACTTAAACACACTTGTTCTACATCTACTATAATGAGATAGTAGTGGCACTCCTAAGCACTTAGTTAGTTTTGATTATAAGCCTCAAGACCTATACCTAAGGCCCCACAAAGGCACATTTCAGAACTATGTCTTGTTCTTGTAGTAGACGAACTAGCAAGAGCCCGACCACCAAACACACTCAAACCAACGTGCCAATCCCCAGGGGAACTGTGCCGAGGTGCCAAGGACCCTCCCCGGTGAGCAGACTTTCAGGTGGAGTACAAATTACGGGCCACCCTAAGATTTACTCAGATCAAACATAACGGATCGACCAGAAGATCTCCCTTCCTTACAAAGATCAGCCATTCCAGAAAGCTCGACTTCATCTGAGAAGTCAGGAGGAAAAATCATTAACGAAGACCTGTAAGCTACTATGGTGCAAGTTTTGAGAAGTATGGAGAAAATATCACTGGAGACCAGGGGAGAAGTCAGCAGACTTTGCTCCTTAACAGGGAGTTTACAAAGAAGGTTGGATCTGGAGTTTTCTACCTCGAGGGGTGATCATGAGGATGTGTTGAAAGAACCGTGCCCTGAGAAAGAATCAGTTGTTCCCCTATTTTCTTTACTGGGGGAAGAAAAGTATAGGGGAAAGACGAAAGAAGGATTTGAAGTCTATCAGCCAGTAGTGGAGCAGATCTCGGAAGCAGAGTTTCCCGACCTCTTATTATTCTCACTATATAGTAGGGGCAAGACGGGCAAGATAGGAAGAGGTATGGGATACCCTATATAATTGGAGAGTCCAGTGGGAAGAGTGAGCCCACCACTGTGGATAAACCTCCCCCTTACAGGCCACCACCATTGGCCAGTCAGGGAGGAGGGACTAAATGGAGGAGGCCCTAACCAAGAAAATAGATTACCTGAGTCAACAATCTTAGCCCGAAGTGGGAACCTCTTTATACCCCACTTGACAATATTATTAACCGGCAACTCAAAGAGGAAATAGCTGAGTTAAGGAGGATGGTGGTCTAAAACGCCCAACCATAGGCTCGCCCGCTGTTCAGAGTCACTTACCAGAAGCCTTACCTTGAGCACATTGATGAACAAAACCCGTTTCCCCTGAACTTCAAGATGCCCGCATTCTCAACATTTAGTGGGGAATATGGTAGTGTGTCCTCGAGGGATCACATTTTCAAGTTCTCCAACCATTGTGTGACATTTGAGGATAATCCCAATTATAAGTTGAGATTGTTTGGGAACTCATTGATCGGTCTAGCTTCCCAGTGGTACTCTCTGTTACCCCCTAATTCTATTGCAAATTGGGGGCAAATGGAGATGGCTTTCCACGAGCAGTTCTATAGGGTGGAGCTCGAAGAGGTGAAACAGTATGAGTATGAGTCCACGGAGGACTTCATGATGAGGTTTAGAAGGACACGGATGAGGTGTTAGTTCCCCATTAACCATGCACAGCTCATATCCATTGCTCAAAAGGTGTTGAGATTGCCACTAAGGAAGAAATTTTATGATGTGCAATTCAATGAATTGCAAGAGTTGGTAATCGCTGCCACAAAATATGAGAAGTTGTTGCTGGAGGAACATCAATTGAAGCATTCTTCCAAGGCTCATCCTTTCTATAAAAACAAAGCTACAATTCACCACGTAGAATTTGAAGGAGTTGAGCTGGAGCAGGTTGAGGGCCATGGAAGAGAAGGAATAGAGATGTGCATTGCAGAGATGACTACTCTTTTTAAACCTTTAATAGTGAAAGGATTGGCCCAGCCGGTTAAAGACCAGAATGTGGTAATGAATGATGAGGGATTTGTCCCTATGAAGCCTCCCAAATATCAGAGCTACTCATTTGATTTGATCAAGGCAGTTGAGATCTACGAAGAATTGGTGCGGGCAAGAGTAATTGTGCCCGACATCACCAAGAAGCTGCCCAAACCAGAAGAGATGATAGGGAAGAAGTATTGCAAGTTGCATTGCACATTCAACCACTCCATAGCCAATTGTGTCCAGTTTAGAGACTGGATACAAGATCTCATTGTCAAAGGAAAGCTGCTGCTAGAGAAACTCACGGCTAACATGATGATTGACATAGACCATTTCCTCGAGGCCCCAATTAACATGATCAACTTAACTTGGGTAGAGAAAAGGAAGGGAAAAGCCACTTAGGAAGTAAAAGTTGAAAGGTGACCAGCTGACAGGCTCACAAAAGGGGCTATCAAGTTGTCTGAAAGGCCCAAAGCAACTATAGTAAAATGAGTGGTAATGTGCAGTAAATGCTAGCGTGAATGCGAACTGGATGTGCCAGCGTCAAGAGCAATTATTAATCAGGAGCTGATCAAAAGAAGAGAGAAAGAAGAGCTAGAGGCCTGCATATGTGTGATGCAGGCAGCCGAAGGAGAAACAACGTCCATGAATGTTTTCCAAAGATTGGGAGGAGATTCTTAACCCAAAGGGCTGTAAGAGATTTTAAGAAACCATGAAGTCTCTGAAGAAGTCAAAGACAAAGAGGCCAAGACACCAAGGTGGGTGGACATAAGACCTCCACAGCCAAGTTATGGCCGGGGAGACGTTAGAAGAAGGGAGAGAACCGTGAATCCAGTCACAAAGATGAATCTTGCCTGACTCCGGCAGAAGTGGTATGTGGTTGGGAAAGATGGGAAGCCTGTGAAAGAAATGAGACCCTCTATGATTAGGAGGGTCCAAAGGCAACATAAGGCCCACATGAACTCTTTGAAAATCCTTACTATGTTTGAAACTTTTGAGAATGTGAAGTTTGAGAAGGTACTTTGTGGAGGCAGTAATCAACTTCACTGGAAAAGCAGGAAAAAAGTAGAGAGAGCCAATAACAAGACCGAAGGCGAGGGAGACCATGTGCCACAAAACCCCCATCTTGGGAAGTACTGGATCTTGAGGAGGGCTCAAAGCCAATTTTTTTTTGGAACCATCTCACCTGAGGGAAGAATACTTTCGCTGTTGCTGGTGGATACTCTTTGTGAGGTTCTAGAACAAATGCTAAACTTTGGTATGGCTCAGGAGGAAAGGTTGTCCGAATTGATGCTATCGGAAGAAGCACAAGTCTAGTTGGACGAATTTCTAAGCCATATTGGGGGCAAGAATGATGAGCTACCTGGACCCAGCAACTTCCACGTAAACATGACATATGTTTTATCAGCCATGTTCTGTGCCGAGCCTGATCAGCCCACCATGATGGAGGGTGATTATTTGGCAACAGAACCAATGATGGCGCATGTTAGTGTCGAAGAAGTAAGGGAAGGAGAATCGGGCAGAATGGAGTTGCCCGAGACCTTTAAAAGAAAGCCCGAGAGAGTCTATTCAGACAAGATGGTATTTAGCTGTCCAAACATGACCACGGCCAACCATCTCAAACCTATATATCTAATTGCTCATCTGGAGGGAGTACCATTCAAGAAGGTTTTGATTGATGGAGGGGCTATGGTTATTGTGTTGCCATACAAGTAGATGAAGATGGTATGTAGAGGTGAAGAAGATCTTATCCCTACACACTTAATGGTGTCCAACTTTTTTGGAGCCATCACAAGGACCCATGGAATATTACCTTTAGAGGTAGATTTGGGGTCCAAGCATATCATGTTGGCTTTTTTCGTGGTGGATTGTACCTCTACTTGTGGAGCCTTACTTGGAAGGGATTAGATCTACCAGAGCCTTTTTGTACCCTCTACCCTACACCAACAAGTGGCAGTTTACCACGAGAAGAGGGCTACAAAACCAGGATTTTGAGAAATGGTGGAGGACGGGTCACGACCATTCTTTCCCATAGCCAATGTAGCATAAACTAATTTCTATAATCCTAGCATTGGGATTTTCCAGTGTTCAGGAACTGATGAGAACGGCCTCTTGACTAAGATGATGGCCCAAAAGCTTCTGGAACAAGGACTGTTCCTCACAAAGAATGAGTGGGACAGACCCCACATTGTCCCAACACCCCAACACCAGTAATGTCAGAACAATAGAGAAAGGACTAAGTCATTGTAGTCAGGTTCTTAATCAAAAGATTGTTGGTGTATGGGAGAAAGAAGAAGCAAGAATGGGAAAGCTCGACAAGTGAAGAGGAGGAATGGCAGCAAGAAACTTTGAGCAACCAAAATAAAGAGGAAAAAGAGTTTTTTGGGAGAGAATTGAAAGCAACCATACAAATGACTAAGTGTATATATGACCTACGTGGGCCAGAAGACTTGCTCGAGAGTCCGAAGTTGGTTGAATTTTTGTGCGCAGAACTAGACGAACCACCACCAGAGGTACAAGATCATTTGAAGACCATCAATTTGGGGACTGAAGAGGATCCAAGGCCCATATAGATCAGTGGTTTGTTAGAGATTGATGATCGGGCAAGAATTGTCAGCCTTCTACATGAATATAAGTATTGTTTTGCTTGGCACTATATGGAGATGCCAGGTTTAGATTCAACCTTGGTGGAACACAAAATGCCTATCAAGGAGGGATATAAACCTGTCAAGCAAGCACCACAGAGGATGTAAAAAGAAATCAAAGAAAATGGCAAAGAATAAATTGAGAGGCTAGTGAAGGTTGGATTTATTAAGCCTGCCAAATATGTAGAGTGGCTGGCCAACATTGTGCCTGTATTAAAAGCCATAACAAAAGCAATACAGTGTTGTGTTGACTATAGAAACATTAATGGTGCTACGCCTAAAAATGAATATCCCATGCCCATGGCTGACATATCCATAGAAGCCATTTCAAAGCACAATAATGGAGACACCTCCGCCTACCAACAAAGTACAACTTCAAAGGTTGTTGGGTAAAATCAACTTCTTGAGGAGATTCATTGCCAACCTAGCGGGCAAGATTCAGCCGCTGACTTCTTTTTTAAGATTAAAGGAGAAAGAAGAAATTGAGTAGGGACCACTGTATCAAGAGGCTTTCGACGGTATAAAAGCTTACTTGGCTTCTCTACCAGTACTTATGCCACCTCAAAGGGGAAAGCCTTTGAAACTTTACATTTCTGCCTCGGAGAAGTCAATGAGAAGCTTACTAGCTCAAAATAATGAAGGCGGGAAGGAGCAAGCAATATATTACCTCAGTAGAAGCCTTACCTGGTGGAAAGATTGTGCCTAGCCTTGTACTTCACTGCCAACAATCTAAGGCATTACATGTTGCCTTGTCATATTCAAATCATCGCCAAAACATATGTGATTAAATACATGCTGTCAAAACCAATGCTAACAGGGAGGATTGAGAAATGGATTTGGCATTATTAGAGTTCAGCTTTCAATATGTGCCTCAAAGGGCGGTCAAAGGACAAGCAATAACGGATTTCTTGGCCGACCATCAAGACTTTCCAGATGAGATTGTTAACATCCCTGGGACTTTGGAAGTGGCCAGTATGTGGATCCCACCAAACAAGATCTTCTCGGGCAGGGAAGAATGGATCCAGCGAAAGATAAAAAGAATAACCAGCCTTTGGGTTACTCATTGAAGACTATATTTTGATGGTTCGTGCACTCAGAATGTTGTTGGAGCCGGTATTGTTATCGTTTACCCTAAAGGAATTCATTATTATTATTCGTTCCTCTTGGACTATCAAGAAACTACCAACAATCGGGCAGAATATGAGGTGTTGATAATTGGTCTAGAAATCCTAATGGAGTTGGGGGCAACTGAGGTTGAGGTGTTTAGCGATTCAGAGTTGGTGATTAATCAGTTAAATGGAGAATACAAGTGCAGACACATTACCATAGCTGATTATTACTTGGCAACCACACAATTATTGAGTTATTGGGGCACTAAAATATCAGTCAGCCATATCCCCAGGGAATCAAATGCAATGGCTAATGAAATGGCGCAATTAGCTTCTGGAACACAAATCCAAGAAAGTAAATTCGAAGTTGAAGTGGAAGTGCAAAAGAGGAATCTCCCCTCTATCTTTGATAGAGGATTTAGCCTAGATGTAATGACTAAGGAGCTTAAGACAGAAGATTGGAGATCATCCATCACTCAGTACTTAAAAAACCATTATTTCCCCACTAGCAAGAAGAGTAGGCAACAAGCAACCAAGTATGTCATGTGGGAAGAAAACCTGCTAAGGAAAACTCCAGATGGTTTATTGTTAAAATGCTTAGGCCAAGAAGAATCTATGAGAGTAATGGCCGAAGTACATGAAGGAATATGTGGGGCTCATCAAGCTAGAACCAAGATGAGGTTGTTGCTTAGGAGGTATGGTTATTTATGGCCCGACATAGAAAAAGACTGCAAATCCTATGCCCGAGGTTGTGAGGAATGTCAAAGGCATAGAAAAAGACCTTTCTAACATGTGCCCTTAGTACCCTTGAACCCAGTGGTCAAGCCTTGGCCTTTTAAAGGATGGGCAATGGATTTCATCAGGCAGATTTACCTAGTTTTCAGCAAATGGCATACATTCATAATAGTGGCAACAAATTACTTCACTAAGTGGATAGAAGCCTCAGCTGTGAAGAGCATCACCTCGACAGCCGTCAAGAAGTTCATTGAAACCAAGATCTTGCACATATATGAGGCACCCGAGACCTTTGTTACTAACCACGGGCCATCTTTTATTTCAAAAGAGGTTGAGGAATTTGCAAATAAGTTCAAGATAAAGATGATTCGATTTAGTCCTTTCTACCCTCAATCGAATGGTCAAGCTGAAGCTAGCAACAAGGTTTTGGTAAACGTTATCAAAAGGATGGTGGCCGATAACCTAGAAATGTGGCACGAGAGGTTGGGAGACACTTTATGGGCTTATAGGACTTCCAAGAGGGTAGGAATTGGAACTACTCCTTATGCTCTAACCTTTGGGAAAGACGTTGTACTTCCCATGAAGATTAATGTAAGTTTTGTTAGAATTCAGAATCAGTTCGGGTTACATAGTGATGAGTACATTCAAGTTATGTGTCAAGGAATTGAAGACTTAGATGTAGCCCGAATTGAAACTCTAAACAAGATTCAATAAGGAAAGAGAGCCGTTGCCCGAGCCTATAACAAGAAGGTGAAGTTGAAGTCCTTCAAAGAATGAGATCTAGTATGGAAGGCAATCTTGCCTTTGGGAGCACAAGTAAGAGGTTTTGGGAAATGGAGTCCGACTTGGGAAGGTCCTTTCATCATTCACTAAGCTTTGGATAAAGGGGGTTATTACTTGACCGATTTAGAGGGAAATTTGCAGAAACATCCAGTTAATGCCAAGTTTCTGAAAAATACTGCCCAACCTTATGGGATATTAAGGATTGTTACATCGAAGAAGTTTAAAGCATTTTAAGGCATCCAAAAGTCAATTTGTATCTTTATCACGATTGAGTTGCAAAAATGGAGGTACAAGCTAAAGTAAATTGAAGAAAAAATTTTCATTTCATTAAATGATGAAGTTACATGAGAATTAGCTCAGAAAGTTTTACATCTTTTGCTAAAGGTTACTATCCTAGAATAATCTGCCTACATAATAGTGAAAAATCTACTTGGCTCTTCCAATACAATGAGATCCACGAAGCCTCTCTATGGAATGGATGCACCGAAGTCTCTTTGTGGAATGGAAAAATTGGAAGGCAGAGACTGAGGTGGAATTGCTGATTTCATGGTTGAACCTGACCTTTGGATCAGCGAGAAGTTGATGGATACTTTGACATTTGAGCAGGGGAAGGCTCGGGTTGATGGTGGTCATCCCATAATTTTTTATGTTGATCCCAAAGCATACACCTATGATGATCAAGTGATTAAAGAGGCATGAACTGCAAAGGGATCCACGACGGTGGTTTGACCATTTGAAGAAAGAAAAACCCAACTTCAATGGGGTTAGGTTCAAAATGAATTGTTTCTCCTTGGGCATATTATCTTCCACAGCAACTAGGACATGAGAAGTCCAAGCAGGACCTAGGGAATGTGCTTCCCTCTCCTTGAAGGAAAGCTTGTTGTGCAGGACAACCTGAGGGTGATGAAGGCCAGACTTATAAAGCGAACTGGGCTCGAAGAATTTTGGGCACCATTGAGAAATTAAAGGTTGCAGAATCTGGGAAACTCTGAAAATTTGAAGGTTTAGAGTTGTTGAGATATTAGCCAAGAAGTAAAGTGAGGAATATATAGTGAGTGGATGCTTAATGACGAAATCCATGGGTTAGCGCAAAGGTCTCAAAAAGCAACCGACTGTTTTAATTAGTGCAAGACCCAAGAAGAGTATGCAACGCTGATTTAATCATTATTAGCGTCTTGAGCTGCAAAACTCAACAATGATTAAAGAGGGCACTGTTTGGGTTAATATTTGAACTTTGGGCCAAATTGAGGAAGGGCCCAACGATGTTAAATAAAAACGGATTCATCTGGAGCCTAACATAAAGTCCAAGGATGAAGTGAAGCCTTCACAACCACAAACAAGCCACTTGCTTGCCTATGGAAGTGACAAGTGATGGAGACTAGCCCACTATCAGCCAAAAAACACTTTCCAGTGGCACTTAAGTAAAAAAGAGGTGATGACTCACTGCCTTCCGAGTGCTTTCGGGCAAGAGCACAACCGTGGCAGTCGGGCTAAGTTGCCTATAAAAGAAGGAAGTGGCCCCAAGGACAAAGACACTCAACCAATCAAACAAACAAACTTACAAACTCTGCTCTCAAGCCAGATTTACAAACCAAAGCTGTAAACAGCCTAGATCTCCGATCTTTTAGGCATTGCCTACCCAGAAAGTTCATCTTTCTTTAGTTTAAAGCTCTGCTACTCTCATAGTATCGATTCCCTTGTGTAAACTTGTTTACCATCCATTACTTTTCAAGCATACAACCTTTGTAAACTCAAAGAGAAGCATTTGCAAGAAGTTCAACCTTGCTGGACAAGGTGAAATCTTGCCCGGAGCTCTTTGTTTGTTTTCTAAACTAGTAGATCTGTCATTTAACATATTGTCCAGCATGTATTCAAGTCATTTCAACTTGTGTTCTACTTTGAGAGTTCAATCTGTGTTCAGATCTGGTTATCTTTACGGATCTTCTTGCATCTAAAACCAATCCAGAACTAAACATATGACTTCAGGGGTTCTGGACACCCTTCTTTCAAGCATACAAAACCATAACTGAAAGTCCTTGATCTCAAGGCAAGAAAGAACTTAATATGGACTTAACCCAACCATGACAATCCTTTGATAACAAGAAATCCAAGTAACTTGGGGCGCAAGAAACCGACTTAAACACACTTGTTCTACATCTACTATAATGAGATAGTAGTGGCACGCCTAAGCGCTTAATTAGTTTTGATTGTGAGCCTCAAGGCTTATACCTAAGGCCCCACAAAGGCACATTTCAGAACTAACTATGTTTTGTTTTTGCAGCGGGCGAACTAGCAAGACCCCGACCACCAAACAAATTCAAACCAACGTGCCAATGCCCAAGAGAGTTGTGCCGAGGTGTCGAGGACCCTCCCCGCTGGAGGAAATCTTCTCCTGAACACATAGGACACAAAACCATCACTTCTTCTTATAACCATTACTATATGGTCTCTAATCCTGCTTATTTAGTCTACTGCATATGATTGATCAAACCCTAAATTGGAAAGCAAACCTGAGCCAGATGACTGATATACTTGATAGGATTAAAAGCACACCACAAAGTAGCACACAATTGTCCTATTGATTTTCCTTATTAACACTAAGATTTGTCAATTGTAGCATATGAAAATAAGGGTCTTTCTCACAGAAGATTGTTTTATTTAACTACTTAAAATGTCACAAAAACTGGGTTGCTGTCCCTAATGACCAACCACTAAAAAATAATTATTAGATTGACCAACGGCAGAGAAGATGGAAAGAAAATAGATAGAATTTTAGGCCTCGTTTAGCAGCTCGAACTGTATTGACTATTTTTATCAGATATGATAAATAGCCATCGGATAGTACTGACTAAATTAGTCGGGCGTTTGGTGCAGTATCAGACTAATGACTGTATTATTTATACTGTGTTTGGTACAAAATCGGATAGGACAAGGGAAAAAAAAATTGACAATTCTTTGTTTGTTTGTTGAACTTTTCTCATATTTATATCTATTGAAAACCACACAAATTTTCAAATAACAAAGAAAAATAGTAAATTCCATACATCAAATTCAAAATATTTTCCAATTACATAAAAGAAGGTTCACAAAAAACAACTTGTTTGGGCGAAGATTTCCACCTGCGGGGAGGGTCCTCGGCACTGCGACACAGCTCTCCTGGGGATTGGCACTTTGGTTTGAATGTGTTTGGTGGTCGGACTCTTGCTATGAACAACCGTAATAAATTATAATATTACCTGTATGGTGTGAACATTACTCTTTTGGCATATATATATATATTGGTTGTTTTGATTGTAATAATTTAGGTTGATCGATTTGTAAAGAGAAATGTAATTAATTAAGTGGTTCATTAATGAGTTGTATATCAATGACAGCTGTAATGGTTATTGAACCATAGTGCAGTCAAATAAAGTTTTCCACCAGTGAACCAACTTGAAGAATTGATTGAAGTTATTGGGATCAACTTTGGATCCTGAAGTGTCAAATATTATATGTCTTGAACTCTGAATTGTAACCCAAAAACACTATGTACTCATGTGAAAAACAACTGTCATACCTTTTTATCAAAACGTGCAAATTCAGTGACTTTCTTCAAATATGTTGCTTAATTTTTTCCAACTTCACAACCTGTAATTAGGGCTGGAAAAAAATCCCAAAAGTCCCGAACCATACCGAAATAATCCCGATCCCAAACCGAAATAATCCCGAACCAAAAATCCCGAAAATTTTGGTACCAATCCCAAACCGATCCCGAACCGTTCGGTACGGGAATCGGTCTCACATTTTTCTTTGTTCGGGAATCCCAAACCGATATATATAATATTATTATTTAATTTAATCAACCAATCGTCCCTCTGTCCAATAATAACCATCTTTCTTCACCACCTTTTTATGTTTTTTATTCTTTCTTTGTCTACCACTAAGCTTTCCTTTCCTTATTTTATTTCTCGATAACATCACTCCCACAGACTGCCATTGACTCTCTCTTTCTCTCTCGTTCCACCAACTCCCTCAAACGCAGAAGCAAGCCTAAAAAGCAGCCACACCCGCAACCTGTTCTTCCCAAAACATCATACCATTCCGGCTTTCGTCTGAGGAACCCAGTCGTTCTTCCAAGACATCAGATCCATCGCTGCAAAGTAGAGTAGCTCTTTGATGGCGATTTTGTTTGGCAAGACATGGAAAAGCTCACACATCGACGAGAATCGGTACACGATTCTGTTCGATGCACTTTGCAAAGCCATCCGACTCCCGAAGGCAGCAAAGACAAGGTGTGAGGAAGTCGACGAATCTGGGATGAGGTGTGGCCGTGTGGGCTGGCAAGGAAGGTGGGAGGTCGATGAATCCCGAACCATACCGAAATCCCGAAAAAATTTCGGGAATCCCAAACTTCGAAAATACCGAAATTTCGGTTTGGTTTTGGTTTCTGAAACCTTGTCCCGAAAAAAATTGGTTTGGAATTTGGGATCCCATTTTCGGTTCGGGATCCCATACCGAACCAGCCCTACCTGTAATCTCCTTTGAAAAAAATGTAAACGCAAAATTCCTGGTGACATATCAAACAAGAATACATGTACAAAATAATGATTGCATTAATGTAAAGTTTAATGTTACAAACTTACAATGTTTGAATCCTTTGGTTCGATCTCAGGCGATGCAAACTGTATGTGTTGTTGATCCGAGGGTCACGATGACTTGACCTTGAAGGAACGAATGCCTCAAGGTTTTGGCTTATGGTGATGGAGGAACCAGCACGTGTAAGGGTGCTTGGTGGTTCTTCATAGGTGTGATGAAGAATGTAGAGAACTTTTTGATTTTTCTAAGTGTTTGAGAGTGTTTGGGGCTTGAGAGTTTGAGTGTCTGGGTGTGATGAATTTCTCAGTGTGGGTTTTTCTTTGTCTTGGAGCATCGTATTTATAGGCTCTCCAAGT